CCAGAGCACATTACCTAACTGGTTGCTCTAAGATGCTTCCTTTTCTCCCACCATCTCCTTGAAACTTTCCTGTTACTATCTGGAAGGCAGGTAGCAATTATACCCAGTAAGGATGAGAATTTCCACTGTTCTCCATTATCTCATTCAAATAACATAATAGGTCTAATTAAAAGGTGGCAGAGAAGGAGAGAATGGGAACTTACCAGTTGAGCAATAAAAGACAGTATGCCTCTTGTACTTAGTTATTTTCTTTTCTTTACTCATTATTTTGGTTACATTAAATTTCTCACTCCTCGACAGAGTTCACTGATTGTCATTACTGTAAATAAATGTGTTAACCAACAAACATCTACTATGTGTGGTGCCGGTGTCACCAGGAGGTGTTCTGCCACTTGATTGTTGGTGTGGCGTTTCCTGGTGGTTTTTAAAAATTGTCTTCCTAGAGAACAAGGCCAGTCTAACAAGTAGCACCAGTTCATCCAAGGGCAAAGCAACTGGGATTCTCCACAAGAGGCCCCAAAGGGCCTTCTCTAACTACCTATCCTCTGAGAATAATGTGAGAACATGAGGTCCCCAGCCCAGAGCAATGGGAACAAGCTAAGACAGGTTGACCATAGAACCCTTATAAGGTGGGCACTGCTAGGAAGTCACAAGTTCTGTTTTTCAAACATGTCACCAGAGCAGAGTTTCTAAGTCTTGCCACTACAGAAATTTTGAATAATTATTTACTGTAGAGGCAGTCCTGTGCATTTTAGGATGTTTAGCAGCATGCCTGGCCTTTACTCACTAGATGCAATAGCACATGCCCTGCTTCCAATTGGGACAACCAGAAATGTCCCCAGACATTGCCCAATGTCTGGAGAGAAGCCTGGAATAGCTATAGTGGGGGTACAACTAGCTTACTGTTTTGCCCTTCGAAGTAAATACTTTGTCTGGCAAGTTGGGGCTTAAAGGGGTGAAGGGAAGGCAGGATGCAGATGTATTCTGATAATTCTGCTGAAGCATTTTTGGAATTTTTCCCACTCTTGGAATTGCCTTTAGAGATAGTTTCTGAACATCAGAGAGAAATAAGCCCCCCTTCTTCATGCTCATAGCTCATGTCTATGTCCTTGGAATCACAGAATTTTAGGATTGGAAAAGATCTTAGAGATCAGCTAGATTCAAATAATTATATAATCCATCAACTATCTGAACTCCTGCGAACTCAGAGTTTTCAAGATGTCTGTCACTAGGACACCACAGCTGTGCTGAAGAGAGATTAGCAGATGTATTTCACTGTGAAATATCTGGAACAGTGTCACATGCAAAATATAACTCAAAAATCACTGCCCTTGAGTACAATTTGGGATTAGTATAGATTATCAGCCATAGGACTTCCATAGGGATTTAAAATAACACAACCTAGAGAATGGTCCAGCCCCATAGCTGGAAGGCAGGTGAGGGGGTCTGGGGGTGCACAGTAAAACCAGGCTCACTGTTATTAAGATCTGCTCGCAGCCATGACAGCATTTTTAGTAAAAATATTCACAGTTCTGTTGCTCGGCCAGGAAAACCTTATTTTATTTATACAGCATTTCTCTCTCCTAGTGACACATGCTGTATTTATTTGCCTGAGATGGTCCACTTAAGTAAAAGTAAACCAAAGGAAAGCCATCTAGAAAACAAATCACCCAGCAGTCTGCTTATCCATTTTTCATAAACATCGGGGCCATCTCCTTCTAAACAAAAGGCAGAGAAGTTGCCAGAGAACAGAAAGTGAAGAAAGGGAAATGAGAGTTTGCAAGGGGAATCTCACTCTGTCCCTCTCGGTTGTGAATGTCGAAAAGGCATTCTAAGGAGAACGTCATTACCTTGTTTTTGTACAGGGCAACTTCAGTTGGAGCTTCCACCCACCATCCCCTCCCCACCTCTCCCTCACTGGTCCTGGCATAGAGGTGGGAGTGGGGGGTGACTTATCTCATGAAAAGAATTTGGGAGAAAAAACTATGTCTTAGCTCCACCCACTCTGCTCTCTCAAACCTGCCTAACTAACTGCACAGAGTGACCATTTGGGCAAACTTAGGGGTGCAAGCTTTATATGGAAGGGAGCCTACAATTAGCCAGCTGGGCTAGAGTGTCCGGGGGTGACACTGGGTAAGTGTTACTAGAGCTAGCTAGCCCTTTTGACCACAGATATAAAGCTGACATTCTTCCATCAGTTGATCAGCAACAAAGCTGACATTTTGAGTTCCCATTGTCTTGTCTTCTGGGTCAATTGGGTTTGACCTCAGGAGGGGAGGGAAAGGTGTCAATAGCCCCTAAGACACCACAGTAAGATGTAGGTTAGAATGATTAGAATGATTTAAATAGCCACGGTGAGAAGACCAGCCCATTCACACCACATTCTACAACTAAAGGATCAAAGCCCAGTTACAGCTACACCTCCTCATCCAGTCTGCTCTCACAAATGGGGAGAATGCCAAGCAGAATATATGAGTGCCATTAATTATGCAATAATTTAAAAAGAAGGGAGCTCTCCCTGGTTTCAAGTGTCACTGGCTCTGACATTAGCTTGGATGAGTCATTTCACCTTCATGGAGCTGTGCATCTGTGGTCTCAGAGGTGGTGATGATAAAACCAGGAATTCTAGATTTTGTGTTTGTTCTTAAATATGTTACTGATGAGAGAAAGAACCCTGAAAACTGAGCAAAAATGAGAGCCATAAAACTTTGTGGCCTCCAGGTTGTAAATGCTAATATTCATTGATTCTGTGTATTCCTCATAGAGTGAGACATCATTGCCCATAAAGGTTCCTTAGGAATTTAATTTAATGAAATAATAGAAACAGTTACAATTAGAATACAATTGTGTATGTGCAAATATGCTTCAGAGAGCTTTGATAGCGTTTGTGGCTGCTACATTTACCCAAATTTTGGCCTACATTATTACTTTGCCCTACTATGAAGAAAGGGTTTGTTAATCAAAGATAAACTCCCCCAGTGATTTTGAATTAGTGAGCTCCAAATTACGGTAGGATAATGAGGCAGGGCTGTGCACATATACGACGCGGCTAAGCAAAAGCTTTCTGGCTGGCCACATAGGAGGTCTCCTTATTGAAAGATTTATTTTTAATTTTGAACAGCTTCCCAGCATCACCCTTCATGAAAATTAAAATAAGGAGCTGGAATTTTGTCCGATTCAGCAAACCTCCTGCCAGGACTGCTCACCATGGCGGAGAAAACAACCTCACTGTGTCAGAGGAATTCCCTGTCCACCTTTCTCCTAGATCTAAAAGAATTACACCTACATTTTTAGTCCAACTTTGACTGTTCTCTTCCCTCATTGTAAGGGGAGGATCTTTAGCCTGTCTTCTTCCCATTTCTTGCCCCTTCTGGCCTGGCGGGGGTTGACATAATCCTTTGGCTTGAATCCTTAGGTATACAGAAAGCCATAGATGTCTCCCCACAAAGTCTGTGGGAGCCAAGCCTGTCCTCAGCACATCTCCCAGAGGCTGTTCTCTGCCAAAGAGAATGACTTCACCTGTACACTAAGGCCTCGAAGTCTCCATTCCTAGTTCTAATTCAGTGGAGGACACGAAGCGGTGATGTGTTTTGAGAAAAGCTGGAAAGGTGCTTCAGGCTGCACATAAGGATATCGATTGGCTCACAAATCAGACTCCCCAGGGTGTGCAAAGATCACTCTGCACCTCGTTGGCTCCTTCTCACTCAGACACACCAGTGACACCAATGCATTTCCCAGGATCAGCACGCGGCATTTCCAGGGCCTTCTCCTAGAAAGAGCACTAATCAAAGACTGGCCATCACGGAGTGCTTGTGATGCCATCAGAACCTCCTAAATCATTCTAGTCTTTATAGAAAAACAAAACCAATGACCACTAATAGCGTTCACAACCTGGAAGTGCAGAAATTAAAGACAAAAGCATCACCAGATGATCAGTTCATACCACATATTTTAAAGACCAGCCGTCTTTGTGTCGCCGAAGCTGCCTTTGAGGAAGATTTGCCTTTCTAGCTCCAGTTCAAAATCTCCCCCAAGTCTTAACTTTTTATTTATTCTAGAGAGTTCAGGGGAAAGTGGAAAAATAATGGCTTTGGATCGGGACACTGGAATACTTCTCACTAGAGATCAATTAGTACAGACATATTTTACCTAACTATTGAGTGCACTTACTGAAACATGCATTTAAGAGAAAAGTGCAGGAAGAGGTGATAGGATTGTGGGCAATTTATAATGCTTTGCCAGCGAAGTTTGTTGTTCTTAAGAGCCTCACTAAAGGATAAACTATAGTTGTGTTTTTTTTCCTGCTCCCTTTAACTCTCCAGAAATAAGTAACAGGGAGCCGGCAACGGAAAACATGTGGCGGAAATCCAGAATGGAAAATTAGCATGAGGATGCGTGGAAACGTCTTCAGGGGAGGAATCGGGATGAGTGGGTCAGGGGCTGGAGCCTAGAATTCTAGATTCTACTTTGCATTTTTAAATATCTGATATTTAAGATTATACAATAGTTCTGCAATTCCTGCAGCAGTAACACGGCATGAATAGAAAATATAAATATACTACAGCAAATATAAATGTACCCATACAGATTAGTAAAAATCAATTTTATAATCCTAAATAATCTGTAAATGCTCTAATGTCCAACCATGGACCTTGTGATTAAAATGGCCAGCCCAGATCCCTTAAAAGAGCAGTCTAGCATGGAGTGACCCGGCTCACTAGACTGTTATCTGGTTTCAATCACTGTCTTGGTCTTCATTTAATCTCCTCCTCCTAGTACAGGGTGTGTTACGCAGTTAATGTCCAAAAATTTATTTATTGAATGAATAAATGTTCATCTAAGAGTCTTTTGTATTATAACACAGTTCACAGGTTTATAATTAGGTCCATGTGGTTCTACTTTAATTGTGGAACTTTAATATCATTCATGGATATCAACACAAGCCCCTTCTCTATAATGTGCACATTTAGATCATTTAATAAAGTGGATCCACTTCCTACCTGCTTGGTTGGTTGTCACGGTGACAGACACTGACTGATCCGGACTAGGGTTATACTTGGACACTCCATTCACCGCCCAGATTTCAAAAGTGTAATTGGTATGAGCCAGGAGGTCAGTGATGGAGACTTTGGTGGTCTTCAGGCCATTCTGCTGTGGGGTGTAGTGGACCCCACTGCCACAGGGTCGGCACTTGCTAGAATCACCAGCTCCACATTTCTTGCACACCACATTGTAGGAAATGTCCTGGCGGCCACCCGTGTTCTGAGGACTGCTCCATTCCAAGTTCACTGAAGTCTCATTGACATTTGAAATCAAGTTTAGGGGAGCAGACGGTGGGCCTGGAGAAAGAGAAGAAAACATACCATCACACCAAGAACTGTAACGATCCTTTTGGAATCTCTCAGTTTCTATTGTTCTCTGCAACTTCAAGAGGTAGGTGGGCCCATTTGGCAAATAATGCAAAAAGAAAATCGAGGTAGCAAAAATATCTTTTAAAATAAAAATAGAATAGGAAACTGTAGGTGTGAGGGTCATTTTCATTTGTGTGCAAACAAGTGTGGCAATACCTGCCACTCTGAGATGTAAGGCCACTCTACATCAAATGAGCTCCAAGTCCAGGCTTCCCCTCTGAAGTGGCAGGAAAATATCACAACTTATCCAGTCTTGATCTTATCATCTGAAAAATGGGTATGCAAATGCAATTCTAGTTCCCAGAGCTATTGTGGGACTCTACTAAATTAAAAGATATATACCACTTCTGAAGATAAATGGTGATTCCTATGTTGAGTGTGTCATCAATATAGAGGAAGATTAAATTGTTTATTGGGTAATTAGTTGGAACCGGTTTAACCTGGTTGCAAAGATGTTGAAGGAAGGTCCTGTTGCTGAAACATCCCGGCTTGAGGCGGATATTGTACAAAGGCACCCAACCACACGTTCAGCCCTTGAACTGACCAAGGCTATCTAGGCTTTGCTTTTATGAAAACATTAGTACCTGTTCACACCAATGGAAAGAAATCCAAAAATGATGTTTGCATTTATGAAAAAAAATGGTGAAAATTGTGTTTTGCAGCAAGCTATTATAGAAGCAGTGTGCACCCTGCATGCCAACCTCCTTAGCTTTGCACTGTGTCTGTCAGCATCTGTGCTTTAAGGTGGCGGGCCATTTCAACTTAAGAAAGGTTTCACAGAAACTCTCAACTTTCAGATAGTGGGGTGGGGAGTCGGGGAGAGGGGCCTGTACTCATTCCAATGGACATGCAAGAGTTTCTGAAATATCAATGGTGGTGGTGGAATAGAACAACTGATCTCAACAGATAGAGATGGTTTAACAACAATCTACACTAATAAAAGAGAAAGGTGCAAATTGACCATATTTTGCAATGCCCACCAACCAATCAGGAGTGAGTATGAAAATTAATCCAACAAAGATGGTGGGTTAATTTGCATACACAGGCACCGCCCCAGCTGCTCAGGGCCTCTGGGCAGCGTGGGAAGGCAGAAAGGAGTCTCTGGCCAGAGCGAAGGCGGTGCCAGCAGCCAGGGGAAGGAAGGGCCATTCTTGCATGCATCTTCGTGCATCAGGCCTCTAGTAATAATAGATAAGACTATAGAACAATGATGACTCTCTTGCTGTAGATTAGTTTTTACAGGCCAAGAAGTTACCACACAAAAGAATTCAAGAAGAAAAATATGTGTGGGAGACATGAGAGGTAATTTTCCTGGTCTCAGCTGGTTCCAAATGTTTAAAAGACATTTCCACACTCTAATCAAAAATATTTATTCAATGTGAGAGTCGGAAAGCCCTCTCTTTTCCTTCTCCTTTCATGTTGTGATCCTCTAAGAAAAGAGCCAAAAGTGGGTTTTCATGAAAGTTTGGGATTTCTTGCTCACTGTACCTATTCTACTTCTGTTTTATCTGTAATGACTGCTTTGAGGAAAGTTACCTGGAGGCTTGTGTGAAGTCAGGAGAAGTTTTATCTCATGGACCACAATGGAATGTACTGTTCCAAAGTAGCCTCCGAGAGAGAGTTGCATGTAATCTACATACAAGGGGTTATATTCAGTACTATTCAGCTAATGGTGATGAAGAGCAAAAGAATTTTTGTGATAATACTAAATAAGGCCAATTTACTCTCCTTGTCTCTTTGTACAGCTTAATGGAAGACTTTATTTTAAAAAGGTAAGTGTGCCTTCCTAATGTCCACTTGAGACTAATTATGATGTTTTCTGTTCCCTTGCCTGATCTGTGAACCTTACAGGGAAAACAGCGTTGCAAAATTTGTGTTAAAGGTGAGATTACCCCACAGAAATTTCCAGAAATAAAATACCAGTGTTCTTTTTGTTTACATTTTCATTTGTATTAAGGGTCCTTTGGAAAATAACAAGGTCAAATAAATGGTTTCCGAATAAATGAATAGAGCTCTTTAAAATCACAGATTCCTAGAGCCAGATAGGATGGTAAAGATCATTTGGTCAAACAGCTTCATTTTAAAGATGAGGAAATTGAGATCCAGGAAGTGAACCTGATAATATGGAAAGCTTGTGCAATATAATTAGTGGCAGAATCTAACATCCATAAGTACTCCACTTTGGGGTTATTTCCACTCCACCATATGGCCCCCATTTAAGGTATAAGAACAACAAAATCAGCAGTTTCAACCAAAGTTTGAGATGTAAAGATAGGAAGAGGGAGTGTGCATCATCAGTCCTGTTCAGGTTCTGTAGAAGCTTGCCACCATGGTGAAATCCTTACTAGTTTGCATCTGAAGCTGACCACAGCTTGGTTTATAAAATAGGTCAGTCACTGGTTCTCATTGTGCTGCAAGGTTCTAGGGTTAAATGAGAGTGACTCTTAAATCCATGCCAAAGTTCCTGGTCCACTTTCACATGGGAAAATGTGACACAATGAATCAAACACCACAGAAGCAAAAAGTCAGTAATTAGTATGTAGGATGGGGCATGGCAGTGTCTAAACAGAGAAGAAATAGAGCAGAAAACTAAATTGTCACAGGCCTTAGAGATATAACACAGCCACGTGGACAAAAAAAAAAAAATGCTTCAGGATTTCTAATTGGAGGGCTGGCAGGAAAACCAGTAGTAGCCAGCCCAGAACAACCTTCTTCCTTTGGGAAGAAAATTTGTGTAGATGCTCAAGGAAAGAAGGAAAATTAGGCCAATTCAAGTTCAATGCTGTCTCCATGAATGGTCTGGTGAATGGTACTGAACATGGTTTATGTTTTGCTGCCATATGGAATGATAGTTAGATGAGCAGAGTTGCAGCTTAGAAGTTAGACTACAACACAGAATTGAGGCAGGGGGAAGGGAATATAGAAATGTCCACCCAATATGATTATAACATTGGCCTGCACAGGAACCAGGAAAGAAAGAATGATCAACCAAAGGACTTGTATGCATGCATATAAGCATAACCAATGGACACAAGACACTGGGGGGTATGGGAGGCTAGGCGAGGGTCAAGGGGAGAAAAAAAAAAAGGAGACCTATGTAATACTCTTTGTAATACTTTAAGCAATAAAACAATTAAAAAAAAAGAATGCCTTATAAATTAAAATCATAATGGTGGTTATATTTTTTGTGGGATTGTTTTTTCTTTCTTCCTTTTTTTTTTACCTTTTGCCATTTAAATGATAATAACATATGAAGTGTGTTTCTATTTAAAGGAGGGCTCATCTCTTCTTCAGAAAAGAAAGAATTCTCCTCTTAAGACATAAAAAAAAGTAGGGATTTTAATATTGTCAAAAGTCAATACTTGGCAGCACCTTAAAACAATCACCTGTAGAGATAGCTAAAGAGAAAAGGAAGAAAAAAAAAGGAAACAGGCCTTCTAAGTTACATGAATTCTCTGAGTAAATACAAATGATCCAGAAAGAAAAAAATCTTAACTTTTAGATTATCTTCCCTTTTGTTCAAGTAAGTATTGTATCTGGATATTTTTTTTAAATATATTTTATTGATTTTTACAGAGAGGAAGGGAGAGGGACAGAGAGTTAGAAACATCGATGAGAGAGAAACATCAATCAGCTGCCTCCGGCACACTCCCCACTGGGGATGTGCCCGCAACCAAGGCACATGCCCTTGACCGGAATCGAACCCGGGACCCTTGAGTCCACAGGCTGATGGTCTATCCACTGAGCCAAACCGGTTAGGGCATATCTGGATATTTAGGAACAATTATATTTCTGAAAGGTAACTGACTTTCTCATCAGAAATATATCCATCGGCAAATAAGTCTCCAATTACAAATACAAGATGTACCACAGAGAGGAATAAAGGTGGCATTTGTTTTAATTTTCTAGTCTTGCCCTAGCCAGTTTGGCTCAGTGGATAGAGCGTCAGCCTGGGGACTGAAGGGTCCCAGGTTCGATTCCAGTCAAGGGCATGTACCTTGGTTGCAAGCACATCCCCAGTAGGAGATGTGCAGGAGGCAGCTGATCGATGCTTCTCTCTCATCGATGTTTCTAGTTCTCTATCCCTCTCCCTTCCTCTCTGTAAAAAGTCAATAAAATATATTTTAAAAAAAAAATTTTCTAGTCTTTATATTGACATCATGTCCACTGAGCAGACACCAGCATCAGGCAGCTTGAGGATCGTTGTGCATAGTAGGGTTTTATGCTTTCTAAAGCTACCCAGTACTGGCCTGAGTGTAGGGCTAATAGCAATCTGCATATGGTATTGTTCCACAGTTCAGGTCTTTATTTCTATTTCCTATTTTGTTTGGAACATGGTTTGCTAATGCGACACTTATCACCAGTCTCTATGCTCCTCCAGAGATGAACTGATGTCTTCATTTCCTGGTGTCTACCATGATTCGTAGTTCAGAGCAAGCTCAATAAATATTTGATGAGTCGATGAATAAGTGAATGACTGCAGGGAAAACTGACAAAATCCTCAAATGCATCTATGCCTAACTATCTCCAGTGTGTTTTCAAATGTGTGAATTAATACAGCTTTCTCTGAGCTAAAGTAGTATTAGTCGGCTTTTTACATACAGATTCGTGAGCATTGAGCCCTGTAAAGGAGTATCTCAATGTAACTAGTTTCATTCAATTTCTTCTTTTCTATAATTTAAAAACACTTTGGAAAAAGTAAGGAGGGCTATATATCTTATTGGTGGTTACTTCTTTTGAGAGGGATTGTGGGATCATTCATTTATTCAATAAATATATATTCAGAGTCCAGTATTTGTCTCCTGCTCTAGAAGAAAAAGAAAAAAAAATGATTCATTTTGATAATTCACTGGATAGTTGAAGGAAGGGAAGCTGGGAGAAAGAAAGAAACTAAAGGAAGCTAAGTGGGGATTAAGTGAGCACCGGGA